AGAGACACACAGAGACACACAGAGACACAGGGAGACACAGGGAAACACAAGAAGACACAGGGAAACACACAGAGACACAGGGAGACACAGGGAGACACACAGAGACACAGGGAGACACAGAGAGACACAGGGAGACACACAGAGACACACAGAGACACAGGGAGACACACAGAGACACACAGAGACACAGGGAGACACACAGAGACACAGGGAGACACAGGGAGACACAGAGACACAGAGAGAGACACAGGGAGACACAGAGAGACACAGGGAGACACAGAGACACACAGAGACACAAGGAGACACACAGAGACACAGGGACACACAGGGACACACAGAGAGAGACACAGGGAGACACAGGGAGACACAGGGAGACACAGAGAGACACAGAGACACACAGAGACACACAGAGACACAGGGAGACACACAGAGACACACAGAGACACAGAGAGACACAGAGAGACACAGGGAGACACAGAGAGACACACAGAGACACACACAGAGAGACACAGAGAGACACACACAGAGAGACACACAGGGAGACACAGAGAGACACAGAGAAACACAGAGAGACAGAGACACACAGAGAGACACAGAGAGAGACCGAGACACAGAGACACAGGGAGACACAGGGAGACACAGAGAGACACAGAGACACACAGAGACACACAGAGACACAGGGAGACACACAGAGACACAGGGAGACACACAGAGACACACAGAGACACAGAGAGACACAGGGAGACACAGAGAGACACAGGGAGACAGAGAGACACAGGGAGACACAGAGAGACACAGGGAGACAGAGAGACACACAGAGACACAAGGAGACACACAGAGACACAGGGACACACAGGGACACACAGGGAGACACAGAGAGACACACAGAGACACAGGAAGACACAGGGAGACACAGAGACACACAGAGACACAGAGAGACACACAGAGACACACAGAGACACAGAGAAACACACGGAGACACAGGGAGACACAGGGAGACACACAGAGACACACAGAGACACAGGGAGACACACAGAGACACAGGGAGACACAGGGAGACACACAGAGACACAGAGAGACACAGAGACACACACAGAGAGACACAGAGACACAGGGAGACAAAGAGAGACACACGGAGACAAAGAGAGACACACGGAAACACAGGGAGACACAGAGAGACACAGGGAGACACAGAGAGACACAGAGAGACACACAGAGACACAGAGACACAGGGAGACACAGGGAGACACAGGGAGACACAGAGAGACACAGAGAGACACACAGAGACACAGAGAGACAAAGAGAGACACACGGAGACACAGGGAGACACAGAGACACAGGGAGACACAGGGAGACACAGAGAGACACACAGAGACACAGGGAGACACAGAGAGACAGGGAGACACAGGGAGACACAGAGAGACACATAGAGACACACAGAGACACACAGAGACACAGAGAGAGACACAGGGAGACACAGAGAGAGACACAGGGAGACACAGGGAGACACACAGAGAGACACACAGAGACATAGAGAGACACAGAAAGACACACAGAGACACACAGAGACACAGGGAGACACAGGGAGACACAGGGAGACACAGGGACACACAGGGAGACACACAGAGACACAGGGAGAGACAGAGACACAGAGAGAGACAGAGACACAGGGAGACACAGAGAGACACAGGGAGACACACAGAGACACAGAGAGAGACAGAGACACAGGGAGACACAGAGAGACACAGGGAGACAGAGAGACACAGGGAGACACAGGGAGACACACAGAGACACACAGAGAGACACAGGGAGACAGAGAGACACACAGAGACACAGAGAGACACAGAGAGACACAGGGAGACACAGAGAGACACAGGGAGACACAGGGAGACACAGAGAGAGACAGAGAGACACAGGGAGACACAGAGAGAGACACAGAGAGACACACAGAGAGACACAGAGAGAGAGACACAGAGAGACACAGGGAGACACAGGGAGACACAGGGAGACACAGGGAGACACAGAGAGACACAGAGAGACACAGAAAGACACACACAGAGAGACACAGAGAGAGACAGACACAGGGAGACACAGGGAGACACAGAGAGACACAGAGACACACAGAGACACACAAAGACACAGAGAGAAAGACAGAGAGACACAGAGAGACACACAGAGAGACACAGGGAGACACACCGAGACAGACAGAGAGACACAGGGAGACACAGGGAGACACAGGTAGACACACGGAGACAGAGAGAGATACAGAGATACAGAGAGACACACACAGAGACACACAGGCACACACAGAGAGACACAGAGAGACACAGGGAGACACAGGGAGACACAGGGAGACACACAGAGAGACAGAGAGACACAGGGAGACACAGGGAGACACAGGGAGACACACAGAGACACAGAGTGATACAAGGAGACACACAGAGACACAGAGAGACACACAGAGACACAGAGAGACACAGGCAGACACAGGGAGACACACATAGACACCGGGAGACACACAGAGACACAGGGAGACACACGGAGAAACAGAGAGACACAGAGAGACACACAGAGACACAGAGAGAGACACAGGGAGACACAGAGAGAGACACAGGGAGACACAGGGAGACACACAGAGAGACACACAGAGACATAGAGAGAGACAGAGACACAGGGAGACACAGAGAGACAGAGACACAGGGAGACACAGAGAGACACAGGGAGACACAGGGAGACACAGAGAGACACACAGAGACACAGGGAGACACACAGAGACACAGAGAGACAGACACAGGGAGACACAGAGAGACACAGGGAGACAGAGAGACACAGGGAGACACAGGGAGACACAGGGAGACACAGAGGGAGACACAGAGGGAGACACAGGGAGACACAGGGAGACACAGGGAGACACACAGAGACACACAGAGACACACAGAGACACACAGAGACACACAGAGACACAGGGAGACACACAGAGACACACAGAGACACAGGGAGACACAGGGATACACAGGGAGACACACAGAGACACAGGGAGACACACAGAGACACAGGGAGACACACAGAGACACAGGGAGACACACAGAGACACAGGGAGACACAGGGAGACACAGGAAGACACAGGGAGACACAGGGAGACACAGGAAGACACAGGGAGACACACAGAGACACACAGAGACACAGGGAGACACAGGGAGACACAAGAAGACACAGGGAAACACACAGAGACACAGGGAGACACAGGGAGACACAGGGAGACACACAGAGACACAGGGAGACACAGAGAGACACAGGGAGACACAGAGACACAGAGAGAGACACAGAGACACAGGGAGACACACAGAGACACACAGAGACACAGGGAGACACACAGAGACACAGGGAGACACAGGGAGACACAGAGACACAGAGAGAGACACAGGGAGACACAGGGAGACACAGAGAGACACAGGGAGACACAGAGACACACAGAGACACACAGAGACACAGGGACACACAGGGACGCACAGAGAGAGACACAGGGAGACACAGGGAGACACAGAGAGACACAGAGACACACAGAGACACACAGAGACACAGGGAGACACACAGAGACACACAGAGACACAGAGAGACACAGGGAGACACAGAGAGACACACAGAGACACACACAGAGAGACACAGAGAGACACACACAGAGAGACACACAGGGAGACACAGAGAGACACAGAGAGACACAGAGAGACAGAGACACAGAGAGAGACAGAGACACAGGGAGACACAGGGAGACACAGGGAGACACAGAGAGACACAGAGACACACAGAGACACACAGAGACACAGGGAGACACACAGAGACACACAGAGACACAGAGAGACACAGGGAGACACAGAGAGACACAGAGAGACACAGGGAGACAGAGAGACACACAGAGACACAAGGAGACACACAGAGACACAGGGACACACAGGGACACACAGGGAGACACAGAGAGACACACAGAGACACAGGAAGACACAGGAAGACACAGGGAGACACAGAGACACACAGAGACACAGAGAGACACAGAGAGACACACAGAGACACAGAGAGACACAGAGAGACACACAGAGACACAGAGAGACACACGGAGACACAGCGAGACACAGGGAGACACACAGAGACATACAGAGACACAGGGAGACACACAAAGACACAGGGAGACACACAGAGACACAGAGAGACACAGAGACACACACAGAGACACACACAGAGACACACAGAGACACAGGGAGACACAGAGAGACACAGGGAGACACAGAGAGACACAGAGAGACACACAGAGACACAGAGACACAGGGAGACACAGGGAGACACACAGAGACACAGAGAGACAAAGAGAGACACACGGAGACACAGGGAGACACAGAGACACAGGGAGACAGGGAGACACAGGGAGACAGGGAGACACAGAGAGACACACAGAGACACAGGGAGACACAGAGAGACAGGAAGACACAGGGAGACACAGAGAGAGACACAGGGAGACACAGGGAGACACAGAGAGACACACAGAGAGACACACAGAGACATAGAGAGACACAGAAAGACACACAGAGACACATAGAGACACAGGGAGACACAGGGAGACACAGGGAGACACAGGGAGACACAGGGAGACACAGAGAGAGACACAGAGACACAGAGAGACACAGGGAGACACAGGGAGACAGAGAGATACAGGGAGACACAGGGAGACACACAGAGACACACAGGGAGACACAGGGAGACACAGAGAGACACAGAGAGACACAGAGAGACACAGAGACACAGGGAGACACACAGACACAAGGAGACACACAGAGACACAGGGAGACACACAGAGACACAGGGAGACACAGGGAGACACACAGAGGCACAGAGAGACACAGAGAGACACAGGGAGACACAGGGAGACACACAGAGACACACAGAGACACAGAGAGACACACAGAGACACATGAAGACACACAGAGACACAGAGAGACAAGCCACGGTACCTGTAACTGGTTGGAGCATCGGCCTATGGGCTCTGGAGGAAGTTGAATCTCATCGGTGGACATTTGCCTCACTCGGTTAGAGAAGGAGGCTGTGGAGACACGGACACAGAAAGACACTCACTCATCCACTCATCCACTCACCCACTCATCCACTCACTCACCCACTCACTCACCCATCCACTCACTCACTCACTCATCCACTCACCCACTCATCCACTCACTCATCCACTCATCCACTCACTCACTCACTCACCCATCCACTCACTCACTCACTCATCCATTCACTCACCCACTCACCCACTCACTCACTCATCCACTCACTCACTCACTCATCCACTCACTCACCCATCCACTCACTCACTCACTCAATCACCCACTCACCCACTCATCCACTCACTCACTCACCCATCCACTCACTCACTCATCCAATCACTCACTCACTCACCCACTCATCCACTCACTCACTCACTCATCCACTCACTCACTCATTCACTCACCCACCCAACCACTCACCCACCAACCCACTCACTCATCCACTCACCCACCCACCAATCCACTCACCCACCAACCCACTCATCCATTCACTCATCCACTCATTCACCCACTCACTCACCAACCCACTCACCCACTCACTCATCCACTCACCCACCAACCCACCCACCCACTCACCCACCAACCCACCCACCCACAGTCACTAACCCATCCACACTCACTCACACCCACCCACACTCACTCTCACCCACCCACCCACTCACCCTCCCACCCACTCACCCACCAACCCACCCACCCACCCACACTCACATCCACCAACACTCACTCACTCACCCACTCACCCACCAACCCACCCACCCACTCTCACTCACACCCACCCACTCACTCACTCACCCACTCACCCACCCACCCACACACCCACCCACTCACCAACCCACCCACACTCACTCTCACCCACCCACACTCACTCTCACCCACCCACTCACTCACTCTCACCCACCCACTCACACCCACCCACCCACACTCACCCACAACCCACTCACCCACAACCCACTCACCCACCCATCCACACTCACTCACACCCACACTCTCACCCACTAACCCACCCACCCACCCACTCTCACCCACCCACCCACACTCACCCACAACCCACTCACCCACTCACCCACCCACCCACTCACTCACACCCACCCACCCACTAACCCACCCACCCACTCTCACCCACCCACACTCACCCACAACCCACTCACCCACTCACCCACCCACCCACCCACACTCACTCTCACCCACCCACCCACTCACTCACCCACCCACCCACCCACACACACATTAACACACACTAACACACACACTAACTAACTAACACACACTAACACACACACTAACTAACACACACTAACACACTCTCACTAATTCACCCACACACACTAACTCACCCATACACACCCACACACACACACACACTAACACACACTAACACACTAACTCACACTCACTCACTAACTCACCCATCCACACACTCTCACCCACACACACCCACTAACACACACACACCCACACACACTAACTAACACACACTAACTCACACACTAACTAACTAACACACATTAACACCCACTAACACACACACTAACACACACACTAACACACACACTAACACACACTAACTAACACACTAACACACACTAGCTCACACACACTAACACACACTCTCATTAACTCACACTAACTCCCACTAACTCCCACTAACTAACACACTAACACACACTAACACACTAACACACACTCTCACTAACTCACACTAACTCACACTAACACACACTAACACACACTAACTAACTCCCACTCCCACTAACTCACACGAACACACACTAACACACACTAACACACACTAACCCACTAACTAACTCACACTCTCACTAACTCACTAACACACACTAACTCCCACTAACACACTAACACACACTAACACACACTAACCCACTAACACACACTAACTCCCACTAACACACTAACACACACTAACACACTAACTAACTCACACTCTCACTAACTCACTAACACACTAACAAACACACACTAACACACACTAACTCACTAACACACACTAACTCACCCACACTAACCCACTAACTAACACTAACTAACACACACACTAACACACTAACACACACTCACACTAACTAACACACACACACTAAC